AGGGAACCTTTACGCGCGTTAGGTAGGGAATATTCGTGCCACGTGTTAATCTCGAAGCACTAATCTCAGGGTTTAATTAGCATCTCGATGCTGGCCGTGCATTAACCCGTGAACTTTGTCTCGCAAGAAAAACTGTGAAAGCAACGTAAGAAACAAGAGAGATCCTCTAATTCCCTATAAATCATCGATTTGATGAAAAATTACCCATAAATACAAATCTCTTTCAGCGTGTAATTTTTGCGTGTAAAAAAAATCTATATTAGACATTAGATGAAATATAAATCGAAGACTTGGACTTTTTTAAGTGTTTCGAATTTTTCAAGATATTCGAGAGACGTAAGAACTTTGAAATAGCAGGACCAACTTTCTTAATGAAAGAAACCTTGCGAGTAGATACGCACCTGCAACAGTCATTCACATATGTGTCCGTAGCAAACATACGTTCACACACATGTAATATTTACCGCAGGTAGAGTATGGTAGCGGTAGCTACGGTCACGCATATCGTTTCATTCTAGCTTAGAATTCACATCAATAGTGTACAACGTAGCGTAGTACACAACGAATTCGTTATTGACGTAAATTAATAAATGCATGATATATCGGTCGTTTAATAAATCTCTCATTGACAAACTGCAGATTTTTATGCATTTATAGGATATATTATATTTATTTCCCTTAGAAAGTTTTATTTTCATAACTCTTAAAGGATTCCTTTTTTTTCTAAAGATTTATGTATCTATATACAACGTACACGTGTGTAGTATTTAAGATATTAAAGTTCTTCTTCAGATCTTTAAATATTAACATAAATCTTCATCTCTATCAATGTATTAGTAATCCATCTTAGCATCCATTAATAATATTTATAATGCTTCAATATGTACAAGAGAAATATCGACTATTTTCATCACTATGTTTTATTCATTCACATACATTTTGTTAAAGTTCACGTAGATTCCGTTAATTATGTAACTTTTTGTCCATTTTTCATTTTTCTTTTTTTGCTCGTTAACGCAACAAAAACTTTACTCGTCGCGTTAGCACTGTATGAAGAGGGAAATCCTGTTTAAAAATCGTTCTACGTCTGCATCACGTTTCGGTTAACCAAGGTTCTTTATGAAAGGAACGCATCAAACGCAACATCGACCGGACTCCTCGCGATTGCGTGTACCATGGCATCGTGTTCAATTGCGCACTGTATCAGTAGTTGAGTATTGAGTTTCGAATAGTTTTTACTTAAGGGGAAACAATATTCTAGGTATTCTACTACGCAATGCATTTATTCCGCAATTAATTCATCAAGAAAATTTTATTACGTTGAAGTAATTGAAAAACAAAATAGATAATAACCAGAGTGTAGAGTTTCTATGCATGTGTGGGAAATTGAAAAATACGAAACTGCATGAAATGTAACAATATGATATGTATAAGCATATATTAAATATATCCGAAGTACAGCGTTTGCTATGATATTCAGTAAGTGGAACAAATGCGTTGCCTATTTCTTTAGTATCTTTCTAATTGTTGTCTATTTTCTTCGCTGTGAAATAATAAGAATTTCGATGAAATTACAGTGCAGTCTCTTTCCTTTGAAAAGTTCAAACAAATCTGATTGACCTTTTTCTATTGAATAATTTCCATTTGTTCTTCATACGAAAATTACGTTCTACTCAACGCTGCATTGTGCATCGCATGCCCGTGTAACCATGTCGTTACGGCCATTGCAGTATTTTATACGGGCACAGAGCAAGTACATACGTACAACGAGACTCTCCTCAGACAACAGGTAGACCTCGAACTCGGTAGGCGGAAAGCCTACAACTCGTGGGATTGGGCAACCAACGTGATGCACCTTGATAATCGTGCTTAAGTGTGGAGCGAAATATCGACCAGAGAATGAGAAAGAAAAAAAAAAAAAAAAAGGAAACCGTGGAGGAACAACGAACCGTGAAAAAAACGATCGGTCGATCGAGTCGAATCCGTATTCGAGCGTTTGCTGATGAGAATAAAGAACAGAGGTTATCGACACCTGTTCTGTTCCTCGTATAGCTACAACGAGTACTTCGGACACAATAGAGTGCTGGTCATCTAGCTGTCGATTGTTTGAAACGACTGATTGTGCAAACGCTTTGTTCTTGATTTTTCTTTTTTTTTATCCTAAACTGTACAATTAGAAATTCCTTCGTCGAATTAGTTTGAAAAATACTGCACGTCTGTGGTGATATCAATTAATTGGAAAGAAGGTCTGTCAAGATAAAAGATATAAATTTGTTAAAGATATTCATTGTTGAATGTTCGTGAATTTTATAATAATCGACAGATTAAATTTTTATACAAATTGAAAATGTAGATTTGATATACTACAGCAGACGTGCTTTCGTGTAACTTCTTTTTCGCACATTTTGAATATTTCATGCATTTTTGTACATTACGTGAATCCTGTAACTTTTCAATTTCCCACAGATGCTTAAAAATTCGCAATGTGAATCAGTATTCCTGAAACGTTCGAGAAGATGAGAAAAACACGCGCCCTAAGGCAGAGAAAAATACAATCTCGGTGATATGTAATTGATTGACAGCGCCTTGAATTTTAATATCTATATAACTTTCTCTGTGATTCTCAAATGATTTTATATCTATCATATAGATTTAAATAAATTCTCTCTTTTCTCTTTAATTCGATCTCATTAATAAAGACTTTTAATCTATTTTACAATGAAGAAACGTAGTAAGTACTTGGACGTTGCGAAATTCTAATTTTTAACGATAAACGGATTAATGTGCAAGTTCATTTATCGTTTGCACTACGAAATTTTCGAATCGAGCTTTCGTTATACGAGCTTAACAAACGTCTGTATACGCAAGCAAAGGATTGTAACTCGCATTTAAGTAAGATTAGTCAAATAAATAAAATTACGTAATATCTAATAGACTGGCATTGAGGCGAATACTTCGAAGTTTCGTAAAACACTAAGAAATAACAAGAATATAGGTGGAAATTACAATGACAATTACAGCTGTTTCAAGAAATATCCAGCGATGCAAGGACAACGTTAACGTTGTTTCCATTCTCGTTTGAGTGTGGAACAACTCAAGAGAAGTAATTTCAATTTTCCTACAGGTGAAGGATTTATACGTGATGAAGAATTATATATATATATATATATATATA